ACAAAGAATAAACATGTGACACACCACTCCAATTAACAAAAATATTTTATTAACTTTCTAATAAGTTAATGCTATTAGCTTATTTATAAACAATACTTTTGACAGTGATTAAAAATGAGTTTAGCAATTAGCTTAAATAGCCACCGTCTCTGCTATTAATTTTAGATCGTAATTCGAATCTCGTCGTTTTTTTTCTGTAATATTGTTTGATCCAAAAAAAAAAAAAAAAAATCCAAAGAGAAAAGGGCCCCGATCAAGATGATCAAAGTTCCGCTACTTAGCCAAGTAGTTACACCACCACGACGTGTTAGTTTATTCTCATAAAGACGCTAGCTTTTGGTATAAGTTCCGGCCTAAGACAATCTTACTCCAACGAAAAAATATCCCATCATTGACGGGTTACCGGTCCGCTATTTCGCGTGACCGTTTCATTAATGCCACGTCATGAACCCGCAACGAACCGACACGTGTCTGTAACCCTTTTAGGGTTACAATGCCTACGAACGGAGCTGCTCTGTCTCCGTGACTTCGTTCTTTTTCCTTTCAGTTCCCGAGTTCTTGCGACTTGCGCGAACTAGTACTCCAAAAATCAAAATCAAATCCAATCTCTCTCTCTCTCTCTATTTCAAATTCTCTCTCTACCAGTAATGGCGTCTGCAAAAAAACCTACTTGGAGTCAGCCGCCTGTACTGTTTGAAGCACGAACTACATAAAGACTTGAAATTTTGCTCTTATGAAGCTCTGAACCTGTAAGTAATTCGAAAAACTAGTGAATGATCGCATGCATACATAAATACATGTGTCATATATGTTTATATTATGACAACTAGTATAAATTTGAATTTATGATGTATACTGCGTCGGAGGGTCTAAGTTTTGATATTTCATGTGTAACACGAATCAATTCATTAGATATTTATCTGTTTGGTTGCTGAGGAAACTGAGGGAAAAAAGGAGGAATAAGGAATTGTGAAGTACTTTGTGTTTTCCTGTTTAGGATATAGGAAAATAAGAACCAAAAATTAACTTAATTGTTTAATTAGAGCAGGAAAACATTTTAGGAAATTTTTTTATTTGTGGCCTTGAATTTTACTTTTTTTTTATTTCCTGAAGTTTCTCGGTAGCCAAAGTGGAGTTTTTGAGTTATGTTATGTAAGTGGATTTTCTATATATGGTGTGTATATGATGATATGTGCTGGAACTTTGAAATTTCAGGGTCAGGAGGATGGTTGATTGCTAGGGCTTTGGAATTGTGTCAGAATAGATCGGTATTTTTCATGATTGATTGAATTTGGAGTTGTTAGAAGTTAAATTTGGTCTTTAAGTGGTGTTTTGTGTAATTTGGGTGGTGGGCTGAGATCAATTGCCTTTTGTGCGAATGGCCAAAGACGGCCTACGGATTGGTGGACTTTCTTCTGGGTTGGCTGTGGTATTGAACGGTAAGCATAAAAAAGAGAATTCTCAAAAAACCCGGCTTGTTTCGTATTGTGATGATTTTGGTGATCAGTCCGTGGAGCGAACCCTTGAACATATATTTGATCTTCCATACAAAACAATTAATCTACTGACTTGCCCAATTGATCCTAGAGTAGTTCGTTCTATTATAAAGAATGACTTATTGAAGTATCATGCAAATAAGAAGACAGTTGAAAAAAACAGGGATGGGGTTTCTGCTGTTGGTGATGGTTGTGGACCCCAAGTTGTTGGAATTGAAGAATCGAGTATCTGTGGTGATATTCAAATTGTTAAATCGCCTTTGCTTCTGGAGAGTCATGCCATATTCAGTAGTGCAAGGGCCAATGCTTGTGTATGGAAAGGGAAATGGATGTATGAAGCAATTCTAGAAACTTATGGTATACAGCAGCTTGGATGGGCTACTCTTTCTTGCCCTTTCACTGATCATCAGGGTGTAGGGGATGCTGAAGATTCTTATGCATACGATGGGAAAAGGGTCAGTAAATGGAACAAGCATGCCGAAAGTTATGGTCAGTCGTGGGTTGTTGGCGATGTAATTGGATGTTGCATAGATTTGGAGCGTGATGAGATCTCATTTTTTCGGAATGGCGCCTCACTTGGGGTGGCTTTCAATGGAATCCGTAAAATGGTTCCTGGACTGGGGTATTATCCTGCAATTTCTCTTTCTCAGGGTGAACGGTGTGAGTTGAATTTTGGGGGGCGCCCTTTTAGGTATCCAATTGAAGGATTCCTTCCCATTCAGGCTCCTCCTTCTATAAGTTCCGTGGCTTCTCATTTGCTTCATTACTATTCGAGGCTGTTGGAAATGCAACGTGTGGAGAGGGCGGATTTCAATTCTGTAGAGAAATTAAGAAGATTGAAGAGGTTTGTTCCATATGAAGAACTTTTTCATCCTGTCTCGCATGGGATATGTGAAGAGTTATTTTTTACAATTGATGCAGAAGGTGGGAGTGCAGAATATATAGGGTGGGGGCCATTGTTGTCATTCATGATGGAAATTTTCAGAATTCATCCACCACATGACTACACAAGTTTGGATAGAATTCTTGATGTCTTACTAGAATTTCAAGGTTCAAGATTGATATTGGAGCACATCATAAATGCACTTTCAACTGGATGTAGAACTGCGCAGCTGGTTCTAACAGAGTGCCCTTATTCAGGATCATATCCATATCTTGCATTGGCATGCCAAATCTTAAGACGGGAAGAATTGATGACACTTTGGTGGAAGTCTTCAGATTTCGAGTTCCTGTTTGAAGGGTTTCTATCACGGAAGAGTCCTAACAAGCAAGATCTTCAGTGTTTAATGCCTTATGTTTGGTGGCCTGGTTCATGTGAGGATGTGTCCTGTGAAAGTAGCATGATGCTGACGACAACAGCCTTATCTGAAGCAGTCTGCAAGGTATGCCCTTACTTTTATGGATTTGATGTTTGGAATACCGAACTTCTATTGTTTTATTTATTTTCTCAGTGATTTCAGGATTTCATTATCTAATCATGCCAAATGCTGCCTACTATAAATTATTAAAAGCAGTAGTGAAGATATATTGATCCTTTTAAATTTCTAGAAAAGTAAATTACAAGTAAAAGGAGTTAATAGGCATGCATTTTATATTAACGGAATCCAATGATATAGATTTGTTGCTTCAAATTGATGGCTATGTGTTTGATATAAACTATCTCTCAGTGGCAATTGAACCCTAAAATTGATGTTTGCCTTTTGAATTTTTTCTGTTCCTAACTTTTCATGCCAAACACTCCCCCTCCCTCTAATAAAAGTACATTGACTTTGGCCATTCTGGTAGAGACTTCAAGGCATATGGAAATGGGAAGTAAATGAGAACATGATCATTCACTTGCCAACAGAGACCACAGGTCTCATTATGATATTATCATTGGTTTTCATTTCCTTTGGGAATGTAATTCAATATAATGAATATATTCCCTTTTGGGCATCACAGACCTGAATTTTACTGTACTATCTTTCTGTTATTTTTTTCACTAGAATCACATCCCACATATTCTATCTTTGCCTTGCTTAACCCTTATGCATACATTCAAAGTAAATCTCTGATCATGGTAAATATTCAATAAAAAAAGTAATCTCTAATCTGCATAGTTATTAAAATTGTACGATTCGTACGATTCGGTTCAAAGCACATACAAAATGATTCGTATTTTATATGAGAATCGTTTTAGAGTTGAATCGCATCTGAATCGTATGATTCGATTCGTATCGCACGATTCAATTACTTTTTTTAAAACCCAAATTTTTGGTAAAATGATGTCATTTTGTCTGTTAAACAGTAAAACAACGTCGTTTTGTTTAATAAAAACTCAATTTCTTTGCTCATTCTCACTCTGACGTTGCCTAAAGCTCGCCTTGTGTTGTCTAAAGTTAAAAGTCATGGCTAACGCTCTTGCATCATTGGTTGATATTTGTTCTCAATTCTTTCATGGCTAGTTTGTTAGATTCTAATTTTTTGTTTTAAAATGTTGGCCTGTATATTTTTTCCTAATTAATTTTCTTATTTGTTCTTTTTTCATTCATGTTTGTAACCTAATCTATATTGGGTGTCACTATTTTAGTTCTTGAATAGCCATGATTATTTAATGAATTTTTTTTTTCAAGTTGTTAAATTTGAAAGTGGTTAAACAAAAGAAAAAAAATGAAGAAAAAGACAAGCGTCTTTCTATTTAGATGACGTGATTATGTCAATTGATTATTTTTAAAATGCAATAATGTTTAATATTCAATATTTTGTCTATTTTAAATGTGTAATATTATTTTTTATTTTTATTCAAATTTTGTATCGAATCTTACAATTCACGATTCAATACAATTCTCAAATTTAGGATTCCGATTCACGATACGAATCGCGATTTGAGAACTATGCTACCCTGATGTTATTAACTAACACATATCTTTTATGGTGTAAAATTATATCATTAGCAAGCAAGATACTGTGCAGGGCATTTTGTGTGAAATCCCTGTTAGTGTTAAAGTCATAAGATTTTTTTTAATAGAAACTTTTTTCAGATGCATAGACAACATGTAGCTTTATTTAGATAAAAGCTGCATACTCTTTAAGTTGTCAAAATATCATGATTGGTTAAACTGGTCTTGGCCTGTTAAAAAAATTGGTTGGGGCGGAAAACGGTGTTCGGACATATTCATTAAATTTAAGCAAGTTGTTTATTTATCTCCCTTACTACAATTCGTGAAAGTTATAGTTATGCCTAAAGCATTGAGGCTTATGTCTTTCCTTATTGGAGGAGGTAGTGATTTCTTTTTGGCTTTTGCCTTTAATAATTGGAGTTAAGGTTGAGGGTTAACTTTGCCAGTGTAATTTATGTGGTAGACGCTTTCAAGATATATGGACTTTGATTTTTTATTCTGAATAGCTTAGCCTATAGTTTGTTGTTCTATTGATGTGTTGATGGATGCTTTCACCAAATGCCAAGGTAAATTGCTATTTTGAATGGCATCCAAATTATTTCCATATCCTATTGATGAGTTCTGGGTATTACAACTTACTGCATTCAAATGCTGTTAAGTTCTAATAGGGCCGCATTTGATTATGGTTTTTATGAGGTGTATGAAGATTCACATTCCTTTTTCAATCATTTGCTGATGTGATATACAATGCACTTGCATAACACGGTATTTCTCCTTTTGGGAAATTTATCAAATTGTGATTTGCCTCTTGTTTACTATGATGCTGTTGGTCTAGCTGGGCCAAAACTGCCAAGAACATGGCTAAATCAATCAGTTCTGCTATTGGTTCTCTTTCACTCTTATTTTGTGAACTGCTTGAAGATTCTTTTATGTGTTTGACATACTTACCAAAAGTGCATTGCATGATAATCTTGCATAATTGATGTTTGGCATCAATGTGCCTTACCATTGAGATATGTTAATTTGTTTTCACGGATGTTCCTGAAATTTAAGTATTGGATGTTTGAGGTTGGAGCAACATCTATGTTAACTAGAAGCAGATTTCAAGTTTTGTGGCCTTCATGGTTATTTACAACCACTAATAACCCGTTCTGTCTGCAGATTGAGGAGAAGCATAGGGACATCTCTCGCTTAGTCATGCAGTTCATACCACCTATCATGCCTCCGCAGTTGCCTGGTTCAGTCTTTAGAACATTTTTACAGAACCTTCTCCTGAAAAACAGGGGAGCAGATCGTAACTTGCCGCTTCCTGGAGTGTCGAGCAACTCTGTTCTTGTTTCTTTGTTTACCGTTATACTTCATTTTTTATCAGAAGGGTTTCCTATGGGGGATATCTGTGGCTGGATGGAGGGCAGTGGATCTAAATCTGGACCTAATACTGGTTTTCTTCACAGGGGTGGCCAACAACGTTTTCCCATTGGCTTGTTTCTCAAAAATGATCCTCATCGAGATGACATCTCTAGGCTTGGAGGATCATATAGTCATCTAGCAAAATCTCATCCAGTAAATGATGACCAGGAGGAGGAAGTAATTCGGTGGGAGGAGGGGTGTATGGATGATGAAGAAAGTAGAGTAACGCATTTAAGTAGACAGAAGCCATGTTGTTGTTCTAGTTACGACATTGATTTTACAAGAATCTCAAAGGATCCCATTAGATACACGGCTAAAGGTTCTCGGGGCCATTGCAGCTCTATTCCTGAGAGATCTGCTCATGTCGCTACAGAATGCAGCACTGGAAGTTTAAATGATGATGAGATAGTTGACAAACCCAGTACGAGTGACCAGTCTGAATCTGAGTTTAATTATGTGCCTGTTCAGCAGATGAGGATTGTTCCAAGGGAAAGCAATTTGTCTTCCGCAACACTAAAAGAAGAGGAACTTCTAGATGCTATGCTTTTGTTGTATCATTTGGGCCTTGCACCTAACTTCAAGCAGGTGACGTGATTATCTGTACTTAAAAATAACATGATGGGACTATATAGTCTAATTACATTCACATGGTTATGCTATTCATAAAAGATGGATTTTAAAATGAAAATAGCGAACAGTCTTGGGACACTCTGCTGATAAACAATCATGTTTTCTGCAAATTGGTAATTGCAATGTGTGAATTGTGCTATGCATCAATCCATCAATGATGACACTGTTTTTGGCTGTTGTTACCAGTGCAAATAGTTACAATCTCAAAGAGAAATTGGAGCAAATACAAGGGAACATTAAATGGTCAAGAATTTGTTTTTCACTTGTTCTTCATTTACCATTGTGTTACCAAACGACTTTAGCTTTAGTGTATCTCCAGCCACTCCAAAGCGGGGCGTGCAGGGTTCAAGACTTTGAACCTTTAAAGTTACGTGTGCATGTGTAAACATTTGTCGTTTTGGTTCCATCAACCATTCCGGATTCATGGATATGACAAAGTTGGCTTACCCACTAGCTAGTCAAACTTCCTTCTAGTGCTCCTCAGGCTATGGGTTTTTACCCAACGAAGGGCACATTGTTAGGTGTTTTTCACCGGTCTGGCATTGCAAAACTTAACAAAGTACTGTCTCAACTATTTGGGATTGATTATATGGAACCTTTTTTGCTAGTAGGCTTGTCAATGTCCTCTATACTTAAATCCAACAGTGTGTATAGAAGTTTTTATCCTTTTTCATGAACTTTTTTTCTGCCCCAGTTTTATTGTTTATCCTTGTTCATAAACTTTTTTCCAACAGTGTGTTTTTAATTAATGGTCGCCATGTCCCACAATTGTAATTAATGGTCGCCATGTCCCACAATTGTAACCGTTAGGGGTTGCTATCTTCCCTTTAGTCACGTGCATTTTTTGGGCATATTTATCTATGGAAGCTTATTTTTGTTTCTCTTTTTATTGTTTGCGGTTGTCCTTTGGGATGCATGATATCTTATACACTAAATGTATTTCTTTTTACCCTTTTCCTTTTTTTAGAAACCATTACAGTTTGAGAATACATCAAGTCCTCCTGATGATATTGTACCATTTGCTCTTTGTGGATGAAAACATCCTCTGATGAAAATTTCTGAAACGAATCATTTATATTTCAGGCATCATCTTACTTGTCTCATCAGTCTCAGGCAATCTCTCTCTTGGAAGAAACTGACAGACAAATAAGAGAGAGAGCTTCTGGGGAGCAATTAAAACGCTTGAAGGAAGCCCGTAGTGATAGTCGAGAAGAAGTTATGGATTGTGTCAGACATTGTACCTGGTAAGACTATTGTCCTGAGACAATATTTTTGCTGTATTCTATGTATAGTGATGAAGCTATCTGTTTGTTTCATTCATCTCGTTTTTGGCTTCTTGCCTCTAGTCACTTCTTTGCGTTCACCTTTCTTTTGCTTCATCAAGGTTCCACGCAGAAGAGAGGGCCTTATTCTTGACATGCTATAGTTATGCTGCATTGTTCAATTTTGAAACCTACAACTCAATTGTTGTTGAATAATCCATGCTTCATTTTATATTTGGTGCTGTTTGCTTTGTATTATGGAGTCATGTGTATTTCTAATCCTCACTCATGTCTTTGGGGCCTGGGGTCTGTGTTCGGGTATTCTAGCACTTTTTCCTGTGACCATCGTTGTTGTGGTCTGATCAACTACATCGCAGGGTACATCCAGCACTATATTTTTAGAACTCGTAATAAGACTTTGGAATGTTCATAGTTCATAATTGCATGCCATATTTGGGCGACTCTTTCACTTATTTTCTTGAAGGCCTGACTTTATTAATAAAAAAGGGCAACATTACAAAAAAACCACATCAAGGTGGACAATCAAAATTAGAAGCCACAAGATACTTGCCAGCGTGTTCTAATACAAAAAAGAGGAATATTTGCATTGTTGAGATGCACTTCTTTGATATCTTTTATTAAGCCCTGTGTGTGTGGAGTTTAAGCAAAAAATGCTGAAAATTAAGTATCCAATCCATCTTGCATCAGAAGTTCTAGAACTAGGTAGTGAACATTAGGTGGTTTTTATTGCTTACAAATCTATATATTTGGGCTGGAGGGTGGGAAGACGGACAAATTTTGAGCAGGTTTGACTTGTATGGTAGATATGGACATTGTATTCCTATGTTTGTGAATGTTTTGTGTGGATATTAGAAATTATGAGGGAAAGGAGTAGGGGGAAAATAGAAACTCTATTGTTGGTTGGTGTCTACGGAAAATGAGAAGGAAAGGAAAAAGGATGCTAAAAAATGACACTGTTTTCTGTTGTGAGAGAAAATAAATAACATAGAATACATAGGAAGAGAAGTAGGGGATAGACCAATTGAATGACATACCCAAAAAAGTGTATATCTCTCTGATTGCATTCCCCCTCAGTCCTCATTACTAATGCAGCCAAGAAATGGTTTCACAATCTTCGAATATCAAACCACCAAGAACCACACCACACCTATGGAGAAGAACACACTGAACACAGGCCAGTGAGGCAACTATTCCTCCACAAACCAGAAGTGTCTGACTAATTGGTCACAATTGTTTGGACCCTGCCAGCAGTTGTTTGCTGGTGGGTTGGAGCTTCTTGTTGTGGGCGGTCTCCAATTTGACATCATAGAAAGGTGAGAGAAAGATAGAGCCCAACGGATTTTGTGTGCTTTTTCCCTAATTTCTTCTTTTTTTTATAAAGAAATTTGGGTCTATTCAAAATTTTAAAATCTCACTCGACCAACTTTCGTGTTCATCTTTTTTCCTTTCCACAGCATCCAAGCAATCAAAAAGGAATTTCTTTGCCTTCTATTTTATTTTCATATGATTTTTGAGATCCAAACTGGTCATAAATGTTGAGAATTTTTAACATGATGTTTGGGATGGCTGCTGTTGTACATTCAACAAGCCATAGTGCTTGGATATTTTGTTTTAGGAGCGTTGACCCTTTTTGGTGCTTTTCTGCTTTATGTATGCTTTATGATTTGGATTGATCACTAATTGACTAACAGAGTTCGTGTTACTGATACATTATCATGGATATGAATGGGGCTGACACTTTCTATTGATATGGTGCTAGCTTCTAACCTGGACGATGTTGCTATTTTGAATTTGTCTAAATGCTAGCAGATAAATGGGGGTCTTCATCAACTGCTATGGTGGCAATAATGGTGGAGTTCATTTCTTTGTTACGGTGTGAAAAAAAGTTTTTGAAGTCTTTCTGTATAACTTTTTACTTAATTTTGCATCTAACGTGTTTTATATCTGGACTAGTTTTTCTAATCAAATTTAAGAAGCTTAGTTTGATTAGTTGTTCTTTTTGTCACTTTCTATTTCTGTTGTTTGATAGGTACCGTATCTGTTTGTTTTCTCGATGGAAGCAAAGGGGAATGTATGCAGCATGCATGTGGATTGTCCAATTGCTTTTGGTTCTTAGCAGAGTGGATTCTGTTTTCATCTATGTTCCTGAATTTTATCTGGAAACTCTGGTAGATGGATTCTTCCTTTGTACATCTCTGATAGTAAATTGAGTCTTGACTTTGTTCTATTGTGCAGAATGAAAATAAGCTGTTTTGATTTTTGGTTTTGTTGTTCACTCTTTGCTTTTGACTTCTCATTGATATCAATGGTGTATCTTCTGGAAGTACAGTTTTTAAGTATTCTATCAGTGCACTTTGAAGTATTTATAGAATTTACATAGACGTTTTAGTAATCTCTGGTAGATCTCCCAGATAATTTTGTTTAGGTATGTACCAGATTTACAAGTTATTTTATTTATTAAAGGTACTTATGTGGTGGAGACACTGAGACAATAAAATCGCATATAGTCAAACTCTCGGTCATGTAGGTCAGGCCAACCACAGATGCCAGACAATGCCTCCTCCACAACTCCTTGTAATATTTGCAATTCGTGATACCCTCTTAAATGAAACCGACCTAACCGATACTAGACAGTAAACAACAAGCAGAGCTCCCTATGTCGTGGAACATTCAACCAACCACTGTTGTTCCTTAAGTTTGACAGCAGCAAAAGAAAATGAAGATTTTTGAATTTGCCATTTCCATGTTGCACCCATAAACAATTCTACTATGTAAATGACTATTGGTTTTTTCCGTGCTTGCTATCCTTTTCCTCGACAGTTTTTTTTGCCACCTTTGGGAGGATCATGATACAGACTGTTCATGACTTAGTACTGCCTCACACCTTACACCTACTAAATGACATTGACATTCTCAATTTCTCTGCCTCTCTTGGAAAGTATCTTTTCAATTTCTTTAGCTTCTCAGATTTTGGGATGGAACATTCTATTTGTCAAAGGGAAAAGTGCATGACATATTTCTAGTGCCTCATACTACTAGAGTTTCATAGGTTTTCAGTTTCTGTTATTTTGGAGACAATGAAGCTGTTAAATGTTGTAGACAATTTCAGGAGGACATGTCTTATATGTGGTGGCTTCATTAATTCAAGGATTTAGTGCATTGTTGGATACTAAAATCCCTAGAGACATAAGGGTGTGTTTGTTTTAGGTATTAGGAAAGAGGGATTGAAAAAAATATGTATGGGCCCACCTTATCTTACTTACACCATGTTTGGATATACATTTTTGGCTCTGTATTATCACCTAAAAATACTCTCGCCCAGATGAAGAGTGTTTTTAAACCCACATGTAGCCTCTTACATAAACCTATCTATTTGGTGGGTTTAAATACTCCGGTTGGAGAGTATTTGTGCAAAATACATTTTTATCCTCAAGAATATCTAGGATATAAATATCACTTTTTATATTGAGGGTTCTTTAGTAATTTAATATTTATATCATCATTCAATACTTCATCCAAACAAAGATGGGATAAATATGGGGACTACTACTTCTTAATACTTGAATCAAACATGGGATAAGTAGACATTATCACTATAATTAGTCCAAAGGTTGAATGGATGGGTATGAGATGAACAGGTTTGTCCAATCTGGTAATTCCTAATGCTTAAACCAAATAACACCCAAAATGTTCTTTATTGGGTTTTTTTGGAGTTTGTTTAAATAAATAACTTTTAAGGATTTTGGAGTAAATAAGCTAGGTTCGTTTGGAACTTTGTTTGTTTACCCGGCTTATGTAGTAGCCTTTTGGACCAAAAAAGACTTATATTTAGGCTGATTTTGTTTATCGGATATTTAGACTGATTCAAGAAGTTGATTTTAAGAGCTTTTCTTTTGGTTGTTTGAAGTTTTGTCGTGGGTCTCACATAACTTTTTAGTTTATTATATTCATAAAATATTATTAGAGATGTAAAAAAAATCGAAATTCATATTTTTGGAACTATTATGTATAATCTATAGATGCATATAATTATTTTTTTTATTTTGACACAAAAAAGTCAAAAAAGTTTGAAAATCACTCTAAACAAACTTTTTTAACTTTTTCAGCTTTTTAAAGAATACCCCAAACAGTTTTGGGGGATTTTTTTTAACTCGAGACTTTTTTGCGATGCTTTTCAAACCGCAGCTTTTCACTTAAAAAAGCCAGCTCCAAACATGCCCATTATCGTTTGACTGGAATTATCCCATTAGAGCAAAGTTATTAGCTTTTCTCTATGCCTAAGTTATGCCAGGATCTTCAGCTAAGAGATTGGTTGGTAGAAGATTCCATGATAATTTCCTATTTCTTCATAGTTGAGTTGTGAGCTTCAGCAAATGGGGATCAGTTTCTTTATATGATATGTTCGGGCATATTATAGATTGGAGGAATGTTGACGTGTGTTGACATGGCCACAAGGGTAGACATGTACTTTGATTTGTTTGGTAGATTTGGCTTCGAAGAGGTGAGAAAATGCAGGGAAGAGAAAGGGAAGGAAAATATCATTGAAAAAAGACCCCATTTCATGGTTCTAGGTATCGGCCGAGTCTAATACGACTTGGCCACTCCTGAGACGATAATGCTATATGATACACAAAAATCGCAAGTCGCAACAGTATCAGTGGTATCTCGGCTAGACTCAAACATATCGTCAAAACTCAGAACCATCTCGGTAAAAATCGGATGATTCATATCGGAATCGGTCCGGTACGATCGAATCTTGTGTAAAATCTTGGACAAATAACAAAAATCCAAAGCAAAAGGTAAAAGGTGTAGAAGAAGATTGTAATGATTCGCAAGACATACCAGTAGATCATAGAAATTTCCACACATCTATATTACTTCATCTTCGTCTACTTGTTTTCTCTTTTTCTGTTATTTGTCTTCTGATCTTCTTCGTTGTGAAGTGCAAACCATTCACCATAGGTAGAGAGGTAGACTGTAGAAGCCCAACAACTCCAGTCCTAGCCATCTTTTGGTGATCGAGGGTTGGTGGGTTGTTCAAATCCATTCTCACATTGCGTGCTCTCTCTCTCTCTCTCTCTCTCTCTCTCTTGACTGAGATGCTCAAAGCGTTTAAAGGACACAAGGAGCAAACCAAGTCATTTAAGACTTTGGGTCCTTCGATCCCCAAATCCCAATGTGGAGACTCCAATTTTTGTTTTATGTTCTTTTTATTTTCTTATTTTGTTTTATTGTGTGTGGTTTATTTTATTTGCGGGTAATTTATTTGTGGTTTCACTTTTTGCCCATGTTTATTTGGAGTAAAGTTTTTCTTTGATAAATTATTTCTTCCAAAAAAAAGTTACTCGTTGATAAATTATTAAATATTTTATATAATTATTAGACACATCAATATTTTTCAATAATAAAAATATCAGTATTTTTTAATAATAAAAAATATCAATTTTTTCATATTACTTACGTTTTTTCGGTAGCGCCCTTATGTTTCATTTTAAATATGTTTATTGTATTTTTAAATGTATTGTGGACATACATGTGAGAGAGAGAGAGAGAGAGAGAGAGAGAGAGAGAGAGAGAGAGAGAGAGAGACTCATTTGCTGTAGTGTTTCTTCGTAGGAACTGGAATTCATGTCCTTTGTTCCTTTAGAGGCTGGAGCCTAATTACCTCAAGTTATTCACTTTGAAGTGCACTGGTAGTTTTATGTTTCAAAAAGCCCATATACTAGATAGCTTCATGCAAATCACATTTTACATAAGATCTTTATCTTTCCCCGTAAGTTTGCATAAATACTCTCACGGATTTCCTTTTATGGCAACAAGTTTTTATAATATCGCCAAGGATCAAAATGTCGTGTCGACACATCCGAAACGTCCGAAACGTTTCGGAATTTCAACACTCCGAAACGAAACAGTAGTTGAATCACAAAATTCCAGTGTTTCAGTTGAAACGGTACTGTTTCGGACCGTTTTGGTCGAAACGGCATTGTTTCGGACCGTTTCGACAAAACAGTGATATATTCGGTTTATTATGAATAATTACATTTAATACCCCATTATAATTACATTTAATACCCACTGTAATTACATTTAATACTCACTATAATTATATTTAATATCCCACTATAATTACATTTAATTCCCACTGCTCTTCTGTCTTTTATAATTTTTTTGTTATAAGAATAAATAATTAAACTTAATACCCTACTATAATTATATTTAATACTCATTATAATTATATTTAATACCTACTGTAATTATATTTAATACCTTACTGCTGTGCAAGTTTTTTGCTTTTTTTTTTTTGTTATAAGTATTAACAATTACATTTAATACCCTAATGTAATTATATTTAATACCTACTGTAATTACATTTAATACCCACTGCAATTACATTTAATTTTTAAGTATACATGAGTATCATTAATTTAATTTGATACCCTTCATTATTAGTATTATAATAAAATAGTATTATTAATTGGATAATATTACCGTAATAATATGATTTGGAGTAACTATTGTCATCATATTTATGTCACATATGGAGTTTCTCTAAGTAACTATCCAGAGCTTACACCGATGTATGAGCCTGCTCGACACTCCACAGGGGGATGGATGTAACCATGTAAGTATGTACTCAATAGCATTTCATGTGTATTATAAGACCTTAATATTATGTAAAAATGTGTTTGTTTCATAAAAATTAAGTGTTTGAAACTAATTTAAGTGACTTTCGCCTCATGTCAAGCCTTTTTTTCCCTCAAATTTAAATTTATTCTTGTATAAATTGATGTTAACCTAATAAATATATTGAATTAATCAATTATTTAGCATATTTTTATAAATTAATGGATTGTATTTGTGTTTCTATGCGTTTCTATATTTTTTCTGCGTTTCCATTGCGTTTCCGAAATGTTTCCGAAACGTTTCTATTTTTGAGTTGACCGAAACGGTACTTCGAAACGAAATTTTGATCCTTGAATATCGCCCTCCATACAAAATTACCATTTAATCCCTAGCCAGTTTTTCCTCCCCATGAATTTATGTTATTACCTTTGGCTTGCCACCTTTTCCTCCCCCACAATTAACAGTAGGGGTCTTTAGGTTTTATAATGTTTCTCCCCACAATTTTACCCCTGTATCCTTTGCCACTTTCCCTTGCACACATGGGTG